CCGCCCTCGGTGTTGCACCTGCACCGCGCTCAGCCAGTGAGCGGGAACCGGTCTCCACATGGGATCCGAACCCTCGGAGGGAGCGCCTCCGCGCTCTCAAGCGGCGCACTCTCCATTGCGCCACCGGGCCGGCCCATGCTCTTCTCATTTTATCCTCACAACAGCCTGGCAGGTGAGAACAGGATCACGTCCAGGTTCAGAGAGGTTACATAACCGAGAGACTCAAGGTCACGACTGGAAGGGACTTGAACCCGGGGCTGCCCGGTGCAGGGCCGTGCCACCATCAGCGGGTCCTGAGGTCCAACTGTGGACACACGGTTTGCAGAAGAGGGAAACCTGCGGCGAAAAGGGTAAGCGCTTTGACCTCGGGCCGGGGGAACAAACCCGCGCGTGCGTGAACCCTGCTGGCCCGAGCCGGCTCCGTTCCCCGCCAGAGGAGGTGCAAAGGCCGGGGGACTCTGAGGGCTGCCCGGGTTCGCAGGTGGAGGGGCGCAAACTCAGTCCCGGCCGAAAAGCCACGGCGGCTCCCACCGCGATCAAGGCCGCGCCAAGCCGGGCTCCGGGTGCCAGGGACCGGGAAGGCTTTACCTGACTGGCTTCTGGGGAGCGCAAGGTTTCGACATTGTCCAGGGGAAAGTTTTCTTTCCAGACTCTCGTCCGAGGGGCTCGGCAAACGGGCATGCGCAGAGCAGCGCAGATTCCGGGGCGGGGTGAGGGGAAGGGCCTACGGTTAGAGGTGGGGTTAGGGGCGGGGCCTAGGGCGGGAGACGGGGATCGGGGCGGGGCTAGCGCTAGGGGAAGAGAATTGGGGCGGGGCCTATGGCCGGAGGCTGGGCTAGAGGGGGGGGGCTTAGGGCCAGGTCTTCCGGGTCGCGCAGAGCAGCTTCTGCCCAGCTCCTTGCTCTTTCTCTAAAGCTAGCCGTCTGTGAATTCTGAAACTAATTGTAAAAGAGTTTAAAAAAAAGCGAAAATGCAGTGCTGGTGAGGTGAGGGGATTCTGACATTCATCTTATATTGTTGGGAGGTCTAGGTGGTTCAACTTTTCTAACAGCCGTAGGCACAGGCTTACTGAGCACCTACATGCTCCTGGTGCAGATCCCACAGCCAGCGAAAAGACGCATGGAGCTTACAGTCAACTGGGAGAGGGAGGCATAAATCAAATAATCACACAGGCCTTCAGTCCTTGGGGAGCCTATGAGGGAGAAACGTGGCTTCGCAGAGAGACTAGAAGTGGAGCTGATCTCGAATGCAGTGGTTCTCAAAGTGGACCAGTGGCATCAGCATCACCTGAGTCCTGTTAAAAATGTAGATTCTGGGGCCCCACGTTAGACCTGCTGAATTAGAAGCCAGGGGTGAGGCCCAGCCATCTGTGCTGTAGGGGAATTCTGATGCTCTGTAAGCCTCTGCTGTAAGGGATGAGTGGGGGTAAATAAGGGAAAGGGACAGGGGAGAGAGTTCCAGGAAGAGGGAAAATTTTTGCAAAGACCCCAGAAGGGGCTGGAGAAGAGAGAGTGCGAGGGACCCTAATGTGAGCTGGAACTGAGAGGTCAGTGCGGGGTGGATCTCTCCATTAGACCCAGGAGGCACAGTGTTTAGAGCCCACGATAATTTTAGGGGCCCACGAAAATGTTTGAATTTTGATTTCACTTAAAATCAGAAGAAGAAAATGAATGTAATTATAAGCAATACATAATAATGAATCTAGACTGGATTACTTTCATCTTTAAACCAAGGCAGTCATAAAATAGAGTTCATTTTTATTATTTTATGGAAGAAGGGACCCACAAAAACAAAAGTGAAAGTCATATTTTGGCCCTTGGTCAGTGGGACAGTTTGGCCACACTTCCCAAGACCTTTAGAACCACTAAACCAGCTCTCAAAGGTGTACCTGGGCAGTCCTTGTGGAGTCTGGGGAGGACCCAAACCAAAAGCTCAATGACATCCTAATAATAATGATGACGGCACTTCACCCACATTAGAATACTTAATCCTCTAAGCAACCCGATAAAATAGGGTTATTTCCATAGAGATATTACTTTCCTCTCTTTTCAGGAAATAGAAAATATCTTGCTTAAGGTTACACAGCTGGGGTACAGGGCTAGATTTTTCTGACCTCTGTGACTATTTATTTCAACACCACCACTCAGAAGCAACTGACCTATGAATTATGTTGATCGGATTATGAACAGTAAGGAGATAAACTAACTCCTCATCCAACATTCACTGCATAGCTACCACGTGCTAGGCATCAGAGGACCTCTTGATCTCTAAGGCCTTGAGTCTCGTGGGGTGATGATAGACATGTCTCGGCTGTAGTAATTCACACTGTGCTCTTGACTCTGGGTGAGATGGGAAGGAGAGTGCTTCAGAGGACTGGACCGGAGGCTGAACTTTATTGTCTGGGGATTTTGCTTTCTCTTCTTTCAGACATCCTTTGATGGAATCCTCATTTTCTAAGATGAGCAAGCCGAGGCTCAGAGTGGTCGAGTGCCTTGCGCATGGTCACACAGCAGGTAGATGGTGGAGCTAGACGTTCATCCCATCCAGTGAGCTGCACTTGGCACTCAGGATGTGATTTGAAGGGGAGGTGGGATTTCAAAAGGCCAAGGTGGGAAAGATGGCATTCTGGGCAGAGGGAACAGAAGAAGCCCAGCTTGGGTGGTGAGTCTTGTTCAGAAGGGCAGGTTGTTCAGCCTGGAACAAAAAGGTCATTTTGCAGAGTGGAGTCCTGGAAGTAGATGAAGAGGCTTTGGAAGCCACAGCAAGGTGGAGGTTGACCTTCTTCCTAAAGGGAGAAGAATAATTAGTTGGGTTTTAAGAAGATCTCTGTGGCAGCAGGATAGAAAATGGATTGGCAGTAGGGATAGAACAGAGGCTATCCGGGGCTCTTCCAAAAGTCTGGGCTCAAGGAACCAGAAAAGATTCTTTAAACCTTCTGGAACTGTCCTTCCACCCCCACCCCCACCCCCTTGCCAGCATCAGAATGTCAGAGTGTAGGAGTGACTTGGATGGCCTTAATGTAAAAAGCAGCATCCTGAGATGCTTTGGACTATACCACGGTTATATGCACAGTATCTTCTTTCATGTTCAGAAATACTGCTATAAAAAAAACCCAGCTTTTATGCTTTTGTAAGGCTGGAAGCCACAGCACAGGGAGCATAACAATGTGAATCGTAATGACATGGTGATGTGTGTGTGTCTGCACCTGCAAAACAACAGAGCTTCAAGGTTAATTGGCAGTGTCTTTTAGGAGAAATGACTGTCTCTATAGCTTTGCACACAGATTTGTTGGTAGCAACATGATTCTGGAAAATGTGTTAAAGAGAAGCAGAACTATAAAAAGGTCAGGCTAGCCTGCAAAGCCAACAGCTACATATGCTGGTCTCTCAAAAAAGCACAACCCAAGGGCCAGGGTGGGCCTTATCTGCAGACCACCCACCTGGAAACTTTGTCAACAGCACCTCAGGATCGGGCCTGGGTGGTGCAGAGATAAAGAGAAGAGCAACCAGCCTTTGGGAGCAAAGAATATCAGGGAAGACCTACAACAGACAATTAGCTTTAATGCCAGGTAAGAGCTCTAATCAAGGAAAGGGGGCTTAAGTGCTCTGGGGAGTGAAGAGCAGCAATTAATTTTGCCTGGGAGTAGGCAGTGGGGTCTGGGTAAGCTATTCAGAGACCTACCCAGATAACAGCGAACACTTCGCAAGTTCCTGAGAAAATAATGCTCAAGAAATATGAATTTGCTCCATTCCTTTCTCAATGTGCAGGAGGGTCTCTAAGGTCTTGCCTGGAAGTGTGAGGGGAAGGCTTTCAGATTAAGTCTCCAGAGTTTAATGGTTCCATCTGCTGGGCTGAGCATTTGAAAAAGCAGATACTTCCCCTTCTTACTCCTTCTAACTCAACCCTCCCTCCCCAGCCACCTTCAACCCCACCCCCCACCTCTTCCTAAATCTGGGAGGGTCTGGGAGACACAGTTTTCTCCCTTGAAGTAGAGGAAGTTGAGGGAGTTCTTTGAGGACTGGGTTATATAGAAGTGTCTCTACAGATGGGTCAGGAGTCCTCAGTATCAAAATTACCTGGGGGTGGGATGTCACCTGGACAATTCGATGCCCCAAATCCTACCTTGCAGGTTCCTTATCTCTGGGTGGAAACTCACCCAGGAACATGAATTTCTAAGCAAGCATCCAGGTGATTCTGTTGTAAAGGTTGAAGACACTGTTTAAAGTACTCCAAAGGGAGACACTTAATGTTGAGAAGGTGAGGCTACCTCCTTCTAACACTTGGTGATGTGGCAGCCCCAAAGAGAAGGGGAGATAATGATCACCGAAGGCCAGGAGGTGCCATTCCTGGTAGCATCAGAACAATCTTTCTTTCTGGTCTTGGGAGTTGGCAACGTAGGCAGGTCCATTTCAGGAGAGGATCCAGGGATGTTGAATGGATTGTTCTGTAGAAAGTGGAGTAGGGTGGATAGATTCCTTTATAATGTGGCCCTTACTTTTTTTTTTTTTTAAAGACTCATTAAAAAGAAAAGAGCTTGTCAGTTTGGTTCAGCACCTTCTCTGGTTGAGGGATAATTCTTGGGTAGGCATCACATTCAATGCTGAAGTTATAGAGGCACTTGATCTTTGGTCCTTTCCCTTGAGGGGCTGGTATCAGTTTGCCCAGGGACCTACGAAACAGTACTTAGGCCACAGCCTTAGGGATGCTGAAACAGGTGGGGCCCAAGCATCCTTATTTGCAACCAGACCCTTGGGTGATTCTGATGTAAGTCTACACTTTGAAGAGTGGGAAACAGAAACTGAATCTGAAAAAAAGTAAATATAAGAGTGGAAATCAGTTAGGTCCAAGAAGTCAGTGACCTGAGACTCAGCCCTTGACTTCTGGCAGCAGGTCTGGACTGGGAACTAAAGATTATGTAGGGATTATAAGGAAAATGTTTCTAGAATTGCCCTAGGTTACACAATGTAAGTGCTGGGAATTTATTTCCAGGTGCTGCAAATGTGATTTTGTGGATGGTGTTTTTCATCTATGTTTAATTTTCACTCTGTAACAATAAAACAGTTATATGTTAAGGTTCCTTAAATCTCTGAGTTTCCATGAGCCAGGCCTGCCAAAAACTGACTCCCCTGCTGGGCGAGCACCATTCATACATTTTATACCACTGTTGGCTCTCATTTCCATGCGCCTTTAGAAATGAGATAAACATTAGTTACGTTCAATTTCTTCACTGTCATGTAATTTTTGTGTAATGGAACAATCAAGTAGGTTTAATTATCAATGACGACTGTGCTGGGAAGTTTGTAATCGAAAAGCCTGGCCTAGGATTCACATCACGGCGTGACTGTGCCTCACAATGAGGAGCATTCTGCTCTCAATTAGCATGAAGATTAGTTGCGAAATTGGCTTAAGGTTTTCCAGCGCACATGGGTAGCTCAGTGTCTGTAGAAGAAACAGACTTTGCTCCACAGGGAATTCACCCTCTGTGGCCTCACCTTGGCCTTGGGTCTGTCTGCCAGGAACTCCTAACTCCACCCTGATTAAACCCTTTGGCTTTACTTGGCCACCTCAGCAAAGACCACATCCCTGTGCTCTGCTCACAGGAATTGCACTCTAACGTGCAGCCTCCTGGTGTAACTGTGATAATAAACACCATCCTAT